TGGGGAGGAATGTTGGAGATATTCTTTGGTAATTGGATTAGTTTGGTTGTATTAAACTACTAATCCCTATCCAATTGGAAGAACACGTCTTGCTAATGACCATGGCAATTAATGGCCATGCAATTTGCGGTTTTCTTCCAAAAAGATGCAACTTTTCATGGACTTTGAAAAGTAACCGTTGCCTCCAAATACTGTAACTTTTTATGGACTTTGAAAAGAAACTGCACAAAATTGGACTTATAAATTAGAGGGACTCGATTGGTGGTGGTGATCGAAAAGAGTAAACACACCAAAAGTTCATTTTCTTCCTACTAAAACTTCTAAGTATGCTTTAGGTACTTAAGTCTGGAACTTAAAGTGGTGATAGTTTTATCCTATGAAGAAATTTCTTGCAACCCAAAGCTTGTTGAGGGTGGAAATATTCTTTACGGAAAGTGAACGTAGTTCACGACTCTATCACAATCCTAGTCACCTGGTCTCGGGCTATCGTACATATACCCTCGTCCCAAAAAGTCCCAATAGCACATTCCAACAATAATTTTGAAGCTATTGACAAGTTCATAGAGAATACCTCAACCAAATTCTCGATTTTTGAAGCGCGTCAAAGAATCAAAAAGCCTCACTTCAAAATCTTGAAGATCAAATAAGTTCATTGGCTCAAGCTCAATTGTTAAGAGCTGAAGGAACCCTACCGGGCAATACCGAACCTTATCAAAAAGGAAGGATGTCATGTGGTAACTCTAAGGAGTAACCAACCCTTGAAGGAGATTCCTTTTTCAACTCCGAGGATCCCAGTAAAAGAAGTTCAACGTGAAGTCATTCAAGTAGAAGAGGTAGTACGGGAGGAAGTCCAACCTTCCATTAATACTTTCCCTTGACATGCAATTGCTAAGCACTTTGAAATACTATCCTGTGGATCTCTTTGGTTTCTCATTGGCAAAAGTGGAGGGTAAAAAGGGTGGGGACCAAATACTGAAAAAATGGCTCTACTTTCAATCGTTCAAAGCCTATTTGAAGAAAAAAAAAATAACACTCAAACACACTTAAACAAACTCAAACCTCAAACACACTCAAACAAACTCAAACTTTAAACAATCTTAAACAAACTCATTTCGTTGTAACTTTCGACCATTTGATTCCTATTTGAACACAGAAAAAATACATTCAAAATTTGGTGTGTTCGTTCAATTCACCTAAAATAAAAGTATCTGCAAAATTGTTCAAATTCTTGAAAATTTTGATGAACGAAGCTCACTTCGTCTAACTTTCGTCCATTTCAACTAAAAACAAACGTATCTCGAAAATTGCTCAAATTTTACCGGAATGTTCGTATCGAATTATCATGAATGAACATATAAAATTAAAATTAAAAATACAAGTTTAACTATTCAGAAGTTAGGATTACTAAATGCGAAACACAAAATTAAAGCCCTCGAGTTGCAGCAATCTATGTTTTCAAAGGGGCTAAAAGGCCATTTTAGACTTTAGACCCCAATTTTTTGCCCCTCTGGTGTAAAAAAAAGGTGTCATTTTTTTTTACCCCCGGATTGTGGTTAGCCTTATAGAAAAGGGGAACAAATATACATGGTAGGCAACCATGATCATTTTCCTTCAGGGCCCTTTGAACCCCACTATTAAGATAATGAAGACTTTGTTCTTTGATTGGAAATAGGGTATGCGGGATTGAGGTGCCCTTCAAATTTCTTTGAAAAAAGAAAGCTATAAAAGATAAAATAAAAGATAACATGGACGAGAAAATTAATAAATTAAATGAAGGTGTTGAGTAGCCAAGCTCCTAGATGTTCCTTAGACTCGTATCAAAGGGATATGCACATACATATAGTTCGATATGGACTAGGAAGATACGTGGCTTAGCCAATCTATTCATGCTTTATCACGATTAACCTTAGCATGTTTTGGATACCAAGTTATTTATTGGATTGCGTGCACTAAATCCTCTGTTTTCATAACCGTACCGGACGCTGAACCGGAAAAGTTAGTGCTTTAGGTTCAGTGGTTAACAGTTGATAGAATCGTTCATGATATATAACATACAAGACTTGTATAATACACTAATTTAAGAATTAAGTTATTAGTGACTATAAACAATTTCAAATTCATATCATCGCCAGTGAATCTAACAAATCATTCAATCCATCTTTTTTTTATACTTAGATCAAAATTTCATTAAGAACAGACAACCAATAGTATAAACACTATGGCGCTCCTCGGAACAAACAGTCTGTACAATGAATCAGTTAAGCAATAGAATAACTACCCCAAACCCCTAGCAATGAAGCAGTCCAGTAAGCTCTGATTGAGCATACATTTTTACTCAATAATCCATTTTGCTTGTGCAACCAGCTGAGATGGAGAACGTGCACAACTTGATCCATACAAGCTTTATTCCATATTGCAAACCCACGAATCCCTAAGCCACCCTCCTTCTTAGGCCGATCAAGGAAATCCCAAGAAACAATAGCCCTCATCCTCATTGATGTTTCAGTTATGTCCCATAAATACATACTACAAATGGATTCAATTTCCTTAATGACAAACTGAGGGAGAAGAAAAATTCCCATCCAATACTGCAAAACACTAGTCAGAACTGATGTGATAAGTTGTAACCTTCCAGCAAAGCTCAAAGTTTTTGCCCTCTAGCTAGAGATCTTAGCTGTAATTTTCTCTACCAAAACAAGACATTCTGCCCGAGATAGTTTACCAGTAATAAGAGGGACTCCCAAATACCTAACAGGCAAGGTACCAAGAGGAAACTTTGAGTACAATGAGATCCTCTACTATTCAGATTCCGAGATCCCCCACAAAACAACTAACATTTGTCTGGATTGCATTTAAGGCCAGAAACCTTATAGAAAGCATCTAGGACTCTACAAACCCCTGCCACCCCTCTTATAGAACCATTCGTGAAAATCAGCAAATCATCAGCAAAACACAGGTGTGTAATTGCCAATGGTTTACATCTGGGGTGAGAGGGTATTTGGTTCTGCCTAACTGCTAAATTCAACATGGCATCCAACACCTCCATGGAAACACAAAACAAATATGGAGACAGGGGGTCTCCTTGCCTCATCCCCTTTTTCATCTAAAAAAATCCACAAACTCCACCATTCATCACTACACTCACTTTAGGAGTACAGACACAAGCCTTTAACCACTTGATAAAAAGTTCAGGGATTCCCATTTGGCTAAGAATAGAAAATAAGAAATTCCAATCCACGGAATCAAACGCTTTCATAATGTCAATTTTCATAGCAAATCGTGGGGAAATTCTATTCCTATGATAGTCTTTTACCAACTCTGATGCCAAGAGGATGTTATCACTAATGGATCTACCTCAAATAAATGCATACTGAGATGTAGATATAAGAGATGGTAGAGCATAAGCTAACCTGTTTGCCAAAACCTTCGAAATCCCCTAATACATCGTGTTACAACAGGAGATAGGACGAAAATCTTTCATTCTTTCAACATTTGGGATCTTTGCCACGAGTGTAAAGAGAGTGGAATTCAGGGTCTGTGGCATAATGCCAGAAGAGAAGAAATCCAAAGCAACTTCTTCCACTAAGATGCCAACCAAATCCCAGTGTAGTTTAAAAAATTCAGCAGGGAACCCATCAGGGCCTGGAGCCTTATCTCGCCCAAGATTTTTAAACACCTGACGAACTTCTTCTTTGGAAATTTGAGCTATTAATGACCTAGCTTCCTCCTGATTAAGTGATTTAAGAGCCAATACCTCATAGAAGCTAGATGGATGAGTAAACACTGCAGAATCAACCTCACCAATAAGCTTTTTATAGAAATCAACTGCAACCTGCCCCATTTGCTTAACATCAGTCACCTCCTTCCCTTGAGCATTTACCAGTCGAGTTATCTGCTGACGGTGAGAGTGAATCTTCACAGAACGGTGGAAGAAAGCAGTATTCATATCACCCTCCTGCAACCCCTTTGTGCGAGATTTTTTCTTGTAAAAGCTCTCTTCACCATTTTGTAAGTCATGACACTTAACAGAAAGCTTCTTCTCTTCCCCCACCAGAGTAGCCTCAGGATTGGCCAGAATTGACAACTGCACAGCCTCTAATCTACTCTCACTAGCACGAGTCTGAATAGAGATATCAGCATAAACTTCCTTGTTCAGTTTATTAAGAGCCTGACGAACCCTCTGAAGTTTACCATAGAACACAAAGAACGGCCAACCATTCACCTTATGCCTCCAAGCATCAGAGACTAACTCATTATAACCAGGATGACTAGTCCAAAACTTGAAATATTTAAATGGTTTGGGGAAGCTCTTCACCTGAGGGGTTACTGTCAGCAATAGTCCACAGTGATCCGAGACCCCTGGTGGAGTAGTAATAGCGAAACTAGCTTTAAAAATAGACAACCAGGCTTCATTAATAAGAATTCTATCCAATATTTTTGCAATGGGGTTCTCCTCCTGTTTGTTCCACCAAGTAAACCAGGTCCCCATAACTTTGTGATCAATCACATTCATATCAACAATCCAGGACTTAAATGAAACCATACTTGAAGTCATAACCATGAGGTTGGAAGTCTCCCCCGGGTCAATAACAGCATTAAAATCACCCATGATGACCATATGGAAATTAACCTCTTGCTGAAGCAAGAGCTCCTTATACAACACAGCCCTGTCAGCTTCTTTGTTTGGACTGTAAACCACTAAAAGGAGGAAAGGGTTAGGTCCTCCCACTCCGACCTTAAGAAAATGTTGCCCATCATCGATTTTAACAACATCAAGGCCATCTTTCCAGAGCAACCAGACACGTCCATTAGTAAACTTAGGGTAGTTATTCAAGTGCTTGAACTGACTAAACCGCTTGGAAAGAATATCAGAACTATTAGATGCAATAACTCTAGTTTCTATTAGTGCACTATATCTAACTTCAAATACCAAAACATCTTAAGCACAGCAGTGTGCTTGTCAGGGGCATTTAAACCCCTGATGTTCCAACATAGTAACTTCATTTACCCCGTTTCTTCCCACTACCCTTACCCCGAGCAGGAGAAACAGGCGGAGGTTCCACAGGACGCTTCAAAACAGGTCGACTTAACGAATGAAATGCCTGATCATCAAATGGACTTTTTCGCGAACCAGCAGACAAACTCCATCGACTTCTAGGTACAAATCCCGGGGCAGGAGCTCGCACTCTATTCTTCCTATGCGTAACTACTTGAAAGATATCATCAACTACGGAGGGCTCTGCACCCCTATCCTGCACTAGATCAGGAGAAGAAATAGAACTATCAACCACCATACTCGTCCCAGCTCCCACTTCTTGAGTTACTTCCTTTTGTGGCTCTTCCATCACACCTTTCCCCTTATCCTTTAACCCAACAGGATCAAGCTCCTTCACTCTAGGCTGTTTCACAACCCAGACCTTCTTTGTCGTCCCTCCAAGATTAGAGCATTCATGTCCAAATACTTGACACTTCTCACATTTGCTTGGGACATGAAAGTAATCTATATCAACAAACATCTCTGGGCAATCATCAGGAGTAATGCTCAACTTATTCACCAAATTAGACTTTACTGAAATTTCAACACACAGCTTCGCAACCCCCAAATGTGTCCCTTGCTTCGTAGGAAAATCCATACAAAGAGGACGTCCCAAAGAACTGGCGATACGCCCTAATCCTTCCTTTGATGCCATCTCAGATGGCAAGTTCGACAGCTGATGACTCGATATTTGCACATGTTTTCCCCTTTGTTTCTTGATCGTTTGAGATTTAATTATCAAGTCAATCAGAGATCAATTGGCGATTAGGGAGAAGAAACTTGGGCATGACCTGAAGAAGAATGGATTTCTACCTCAATTTATGGACAAAGAATCATGCAATCTTGTCATGAAAAGAAAGAAGACAAGACTACGAGCGTGTGGGATCAAACGGCGACTAATTCGGAGTCCGGATGAGGGAGAAACGAAGCATTGAATATAGGGGAACAGGTTCGACAGTAAAAACACGGGCGCGCCTAAATCAAAACACGGCCGTGCCCATATTTAGGCACGACCGTGTTTTGGCCGACGCGCGCGGGCGGGTTTTTAACAAGGGGAAAAACACGGGCGGGCAAAACCAAAGCACGGCCGTGCCCTCGACCGTGTTTTGCCCAGAATCGGGTTTTTTAACCCAAATTCGAGCCAAAGGAGAGGGAGAGCTGGGTTTTGGATCCCAAACACCCAAGGGACGAACCAAAGAGAGAGAGTGCGATTTGAGGGCATTCTTGGAGTGGAATTGGAGGATTTCTTTGCCTTGGAAGCTCGAGGAACAAGCCCGGACTTGAAGACTGATCATCTGAAGATTCTTACTGCAGTCTCTCTCTTCTCTATGGAGTAACTTCCCTTCACTTAGGTTTTGAGGAACCCTAGCTATGTTTGTTTGATTGGATGATTGTATGAGTACTCTGACTTGATAATCTTGAGTTCATATTCAATCTATGCATGTTTTCATGATTCAATTCTACTTTAGTCAAGATTATTGATTCTGCTTTGATCCTATGAGAGGGAATACCTGATTAGGTCAATAGAGCACCATAGATTGATAGTATTGGATCGATTGCTTTAGTCGAGAGTTGGTTCACTTCTTTGTATCGATTGAGAACCTTATTTGATAGAGGGAATCTAGTTCAGAACGCCTTGATCGGTTGTTCTAGAGAAGGATACGTCCCTCTAGGCAATTGACTCAAGAGGGCCTTGTTCCTTTAGTCGAGACTCAAGGTCTAGTCAAGGATTCTCCGCATTGTGAATAAAAGTGAAACAAGTTAGAAATCATCAATCGTTAATCTGGCTAGTGGCTAGGGGGAATCATACCTAAGTGAGTTCCCAACCTGTAATTAGATTAACTTTAACTGTAGTTTGCTAGAGTAGTTTTAGTTCTTCCTTATTAATCTGGTTTGCTAAATAATAAACTGAAGCTGAGTAATAGTAACTCTAGAGACCCTTGGATTTGATATTTATTACTTGAGCCACTATACTGCAGTCCCTTCCATTGGTTACACTTGGCCATTGTTAGGTGTTGTGTCATAGCGAGTCAAGTTTTTGGCGCCGTTGCCGGGGACTTTCTAGAGTATTAGGAAAGGCAGAAGTTTGTTACTTTAGCGTTTTTCTTTTCTTTTCTTTTCCACCCTTGCTTTTCACTTGGGTGTTTTTGTTTTTGTTGGTGCAGATCTGAATCATGGATCCTCATGGCTTCTCCAACAATTGGGGGTATCCACCACCACCCGAGTGGTATTACCCCGAGACTCCCTGGAGCAATCAAGGAGGAGAAGACTATGTATTCGGGTTCCAGTACCAACCCCCTTACTACGGAGAACAACCGGACCCCTGGGCATATCAAGAACAACCTCATTATCAAGAGAATTTATCCCACAACCAGAAGGGCCATCGGCGCTGGAGTTACCCATGGCGGCCTTCACGGGCCATTCTGTAGAGCCATGCTACACTCCACAGCCAGATCCAAACTATGAATTGAGGCTTCTCATGGAGCAGTTTGCTCGAGATTGTGAGAGATCATGCTCCAGGATGGATCATTGTGTCCAGGCCTATTGTGAAACAGAGGAGATCCTCCTGAGCCTTAAGAAGAGCGCCGATAATCTTGAGCGTTCTTTCGCACAAACTGCTCCATATCACCCTTCTGCTACCATACAAGAAGAGGAGGAGGAAGAAGAAGGCTACAAGGACATAGTGGAGCACACTGAAGTTGTCATGGAGAGCTCTTGTGATGATCATGATCAGGAATGTCATATCATAGCCGACCACACCTTCCCACATCCCAAACTGAGCTTTAAAGAGGCGGGCATGAGTGAGGAGATGCAAGAAGATCTCATGAAAGAAATTGCTTGGAAACTTGCTCTCCAATCCGTGCTAGAAGAAGAAGAGCAAGAAAGGGTGCAGAAAGAAGTTGGAGGATGACGAAAGTGAAGCAGGAGGAGTTCTTGATCATTTCCCAGGGGATACCACATGAACAAGGAAGGGAGGTTGAAGAAGCAATTGACGTCCAGGATGAGGACGAAGTTGAGGTGGAAGAGGCTTGCACCGGCCATGAGTTACAATTGATATCTCCACCAAACTTTGAGGAACTACTTAGCAAGGATCCATTTGCAGTGTCTCTTTGCCATACCAAGGTCACGTCGACATAGGTCCCTCTTGGTGGACGCGATGGTGGTCAATCGATGCTGTCATATATGGTTTGGGGCAATGAGACGAGACAAGAGAAGAAGAGGTATCGAGGGTGGAGACTTCATCCACATCAAGTGCACGAGCTTCCATCACCTGTCATACCACATGCTCGTGACTTGAGACTCCACCTCATTGACGAGAACCTCAACTTCAAGGAGGTTTTGGGGTGGACCGAAACTTAGGAGCCATTGTCCGGCTCACGACGTGAAAGAAGCGCTTGTTGGGAGGCAACCCAACCAGTCGGTTTGCATTTCTTTCTCTTTTTCTCCTCGGTTGAGTCAGTTTTGTTATTTGATTTTAGAGTCAATAACTCAACCTTTTTGAGATTTTGTGTGGTGTTTGTGGTCTGACCACTCTCTCCTCCTGGAATACACCGCCTGCCCCTTCCACCATCATTCACCCTGGATCTGGTAACTTCGTTCTACCCTCCTTATCTTTCCTCTATTGAGGACAATGTCGTGCTTAAGTGTGGGGGGATGTTCGATTATGTATGCGGGTGAATGTTTGGCTGTTTGTGTGCTTGGAGCCTAGTCCACAGTCCAAATTTTTAAATTTGAGGGCTCCAAGTACGTGTTTCCTTGCAAATTGCCTGCTCAATATGCTTTGAATTGACAGTCTCTATAGTAATGTGCAACCTAGGGAGGTAGTGTAGCACTATGGAGGATGTTGAAGTATAAGATTTTTCCTATCTAGCTCTCTGCTGTGCCAGTTGATTTTGTGAATTAGTGGAGCTAAGACCGTTGAATTCATGTGGTAATGGTGACTATGTTTGGATTGTGTTATGGACTCGTGTATCGAACAGGGTGCTCATGTGAAAAATGAAAAGCAGTTGCTCCTCCATGTCAAAATCATAAAATCTTAAACATGGGGTAAGCCCAACGTGTGCGGCACCGTTTATTGCACCAAATCGGGTTTTGGAAGAGATTTTAGTGATCCTTAGTGGGGTACTCCTACAAGGTGAAGCTAAGATGTCTCTAGTACAAGTAAAACTTCCACCCGTTGAACGGTTTGCCTACTTGAGGATGTGTTTTTAAGGGCACGGATAGAGCTTCCGACCCCCCTTAATTTCATTGACCCTCCACACGAGTTGAGGAAAAGGAGTTAAAAGAAGCACTCTGGCGAGCGCCAGGTGTACAGAAATTGCTCTTGCTCGACTAATAAGGGTCGACCGTGCAAAAGACTGCAGTTGGAACCCCCGCCAAGTGAATGAAATAAGAAGAAAAAATAAAGTAAAATGAAAGCGAAAAAGGGGTTCCAACGGTGAAATGAAGTGAAAGAGCACCCCGGTACAACGAGTCCTTGGTTGTGAATGGTGTGAGTCCCTTTATCCATGAACTGACTGTCTTACTTCTACTTCTTCTCATGATCCTGGCTTGAATCTAGTACACGCATTGAGAGAGATAGAGAACGTCTTAGAAGACCAGTTGACCTCGTAAGCTGCTATATGATCTAGGAAATCCTCTACCGACGATCGGGGTTGTATGTTGCTATAGAGGTCTGGAGAGCTGCATTGGTTTGAGTGTGGGATCAAACGGCGACTGATTCGGAGTCTGGACGAGGGAGAAACGAAGCATTGAATATAGGAGAACAGGTTCGGCAGTAAAAACACGGACGCGCCTAAATCAAAACACGGCCGTGCCCATATTTAGGCACGACCGTGTTTTGGCCGACGCACACGGGCGAGTTTTTAACACGGGGAAAAACACGGGCAGGCAAAACCAAAGCACGGCCGTGCCCTCGACCGTGTTTTGCCCAGAATCGGGTTTTTTAACCCACATTCGAGCCAAATGAGAGGGAGAGCTGGGTTTTGGATCCCAAACACCCAAGGGACGAACCAAAGAGAGAGAGGGCGATTTGAGGGCATTCTTGGAGTGGAATTGGAGGATTTCTTTGCCTTGGAAACTTGAGGAACAAGCCCGGACTTGAAGACTGATCATCTGAAGATTCTTACTGCAGTCTCTCTCTTCTCTATGGAGTAACTTCCCTTCACTTAGGTTTTGAGGAACCCTAGCTATGTTTGTTTGATTGGATGATTGTATGAGTACTCTGACTTGATAATCTTGAGTTCATATTCAATCTATGCATGTTTTCATGATTCAATTATGCTTTAGTCGAGATTATTGATTCTGCTTTGATCCTATGAGAGGGAATACCTGATTAGGTCAATAGAGCACCATAGATTGATAGTATTGGATCGATTGCTTTAGTCGAGAGTTGGTTCACTGCTTTGTATCAATTGAGAACCTCATTTAATAGAGGGAATCTAGTTCAGAACGCCTTGATCGGTTGTTCTAGAGAAGGATACGTCCCTCTAGGCAATTGACTCAAGAGGGCCTTGTTCCTTTAGTCGAGACTCAAGGTCTAGTCAAGGATTCTCCGCATTGTGAATGAAAGTGAATCAAGTTATAAATCACCAATCGTTAATCTGGCTAGTGGCTAGGGGGAATCATACCTAAGTGAGTTCCAAAACCTGTAAT